CAGCCCTGGTGAGCCCCGAGGATGCACCCCCCCCCGGCACGGGCACGGTCTGCCTCGCTCTCCCCAGTCGCCAGGCGCTGCCGTCCTGTACGGAGCGCTGCTCCTGGTCCCCCTGCTGCCTCCATCCTCGCTTGGGGCCGGGGAGGGGGCGGGTGGCCGCACGTGCGCGCCCGTACTCACGTTGAGGTGCGAGTTGGTCACGGTGACCGTTGCCTGCAGTCCGAGGGAGATGTTGGGCAGGGACGGGGAGGTATAGAGGCTGAGCTGGCTAGCGGACCCGTCCATGGCCAGGGCTCTGTGCTGGGGGAGCAGCTGGAAGAGAAAGGAAGGAAGGAAGGAGGGAGGGATGGAGGGAAAGAAAGAGACAAGGGTAAGAAGCTACGTAAGCGGGAGAGGAGGACGTGGCAGCAGCTCAGGTGTGGCTGGTCAGCCCCAGCCCGCCAGGAACAGGACTTGCTAGGACAGCACTAGCCAGCAGGGGGCGCTCTCTTCTACCGCAGGCGTCAAACAAGCGGATCAGCCCAAAGCTCGGTCCTGGCAAGGGGCTTGGGGGGTGTGGGGGAAGCAGCGTGTGGCAGGCGACTGATGGTCCCTACGGTCTCGGCTCTGCGGCTATTAGGGGCCACGGAGGACAGGATCCCACAGGATGGAGCAGCCGAGGGGCAGAGACGCTGCCCACGCTAATGACTGTTGCTCTGGGCCCCTGCCCCGAGGAGCTGGCTGACCCCCATCGCAGCCCCACAGCCTGGCACCTCTCAAGCTCCTGTCCTTGGATTGCTTGGGATCCACCCCCCAACTCCCACTACTGAATTCAGATACGGTGGGTAACACGTCAGCTCCAGCACGCCGGGGAGAACCGGCCCGGCCCTGGCACCCCAGGAGGGCGCATGCCTCGCCCCTAGCACCCCAGAAGAACCTCCCCCTATTGCCACCCGCCCAGCACACACATGGGGGGGCCCAGCTCGGCCGCCCCAGGATGGCCTCTTTAACTATTTAAATCAGGGCCTTCAATCTACATGCGGCGACTGCACCGGGGACCTGCCCACCGAAAATGCCTCGGAGCAGGAAGGGTAACTGACCAGCTTCCAGCTGAAGGAAATGGAACAAGTAAACAAAGGGCAGCAACTGGGGAATGAGATTTAAACGACCTCCCGACTTTACCGAGCTCATGTCACTCGGGTCCCGAGGAAGGTATCTGGGGGGGGTAGTTTGGTCATTGGCTGTTTTGTTTTGTTTTATTTTTTAGGCAACATATGTTTTGTTTTCTCCAATGGCAGCATCCCAACTGCAGAGGAAGAAAAAGCCCCAGACACTCTCCCAGCCCCAGCTAAAAATAACCTCAAAATCCCCCAATCTCTTTCCCCCCAGCCCTGTGGGAGTCACCCGAGCAAGAGAATCGGCGCCGTTTCCACTAGAAATTCCATCGTCCCGCTACCATCCACCCAGACACACGCCTCGCACGCGCATGTGCTTCGCTCGTGGAACGCGCCAGCGACGTGAAGCCCCCAGCGACCCCCACCACACAATATTAACCCTTTCCTCCTGGAACACTGCAGCCCTCCTGTAGCCAAAGAAAAGGTTTAGAGACAAGACAGAAGAGAGGAAAACGTCGTTGACGTTACAATAGCCACAAGATTTGCCTGGAGATTGCGGATAAAAAGGAAAGGGCCCAGCACGTGTCAGAGCAGCGTTGATGGAGACGGGGCAGTTCCACTAAGGAGATGAGTTTTCAGCTCTTTGGTCAGGGCTCGTGCTGAAGAAAGCAAGCGAGGATTGGGGTGGGGGAGGATTGGGGTGGGGGAGGGCTCCCTTACCTCGGTGTGGATGTTGGGAGCGGAGCCTGTGAAGCCATTCTCGGCGATGGCGCTGTTGGAGCTGTTCGGGGAGCTGGGACCGGACCCCGGGGCGCTGTTACACACGGAGGAGACTGCAAGAGAAAGGGAGAATTGCACACACGGCCCAGACGCCCGTTCCCCGCAATGCTCCCGATGGCCAGGCCGATCCAGACGTCGTTCCCGTGGGCCAGGAGCTAAACCCTGCAGCCTTCACTGCCCTTCCCAAGTGGGCTCGCCCTGCCCTGGGCATCCAGCATGGACCCGAACCAGCCTTGAGGGCCAGGCTGGCAAAGGCATCGATCTGCACCAGCAAATTTGGCACAGACGTCTGCACAACTGACCCGCCGAGGGTCTGGGAGGAAGGGATGCTGCCTTTCCCCAGCATCAGAGCACTCCTGCCACAGTGGGAGAGGAGTGCAAGAGTGTCGTCTAGTGGTTAGACAGGAGACGCCGCAGGAGTTCTAGTCCCTGCTTGGGGAGCATTCAAGTCACTGCCCGCCTCAGTTTCCCCAACCGTTGTTTCTCCTCGCGGGGGTAGGGCTGCAGGGGCTACATTCTGCAGTGTTCGTCAAGCACTTTGCAAGCCATGAGTGGAAGGAGTTGGAAAGGATGAAATGTAATTACTATCAGCTCACCCCAATTCTTGGGCCCAAAGGATGGGCACAGAGCTGGGCTCAGGGCGTGCGAAATCCCTGACCCAGGACTCATTACAGCGAAGGCGGCTTGACAAGTGTTTGCTAGTACCATCGCTCTGCCCGGCTCCCTGCGTGGGCCGGGATCGGGGGGCTGGCCACACAAGCGGTTGAGACCGCGAGCTCTGTGGTCCCGCACAGCTGGAACGAGATCACCTTCCCTACACAGGCATGGCCCGGATCCCCCGCGGCTGTGCCCTCGTGGGCCCCAGTGTGAAGCAGGGATAAGCCGGTAGCGGTCGGAGTCAGTAGCGTCTGGAGCGAATGATTGCGCGGGGGAGACGGCGGGATTTTAACACGACCCCAGATGCAATGCACCAAAAAGAAAAAAATCCCATCTTCCCACATGGCAGGGTGGGCCTGCCCCCCCCCCCTCACGAGTCTCCCCGTTCCCCGGCTGTGACTGCCCCAGGCCATCGGGCACCCTAGGTTAGAAATCCAGGTCAGCACAAACCCCCATCCAGACAGGTACGAAAACAACCGCGGGCTTCACGTCCCCGTTCCCAGCCTGCTCTGCACCGCCCCCAGCCACCGGCACTAGATGGGCGGAAGCGGTTCGCCCAGCACCACCTACATGCCAGGGTCAGCAGACAGGGGGCAGATCCTCCATTGACTTCAATGGGATACTGATTTACATCCGCTGGGATCTGGCCCGTGGCCATCAATGGACTTGCCCCGGCTGCGGATCTGGCCCATTGACGCTCTGCGGATGGACCCCACCCTGTATCTCAGGCAGGCAAGTACCTGCCGCTGCCCTTGACGGCTGCCACTGTCACGGCTCCAGAACACGTTGGACGTTATGTAACAGCAGCTCAGAGGCGGCTGCTGTATCTGCCCCCGCCCCTCCCCTGCAAAACATTTCCTTAGAGAGCAACAACAGATGCTCCTGGATTATCCACACACACACACACACACACACACACACACACACAAAATGGCCCCGCACAGATTATAGGGCTTCTGGATTAATTTCTTAATTCGATATGAACACTTGGTTGCATAGCAGCGAGCGGGCTGCAGCCCCGCCAGAGGAGCTGGGGCGACTGGCTCATCCCTCGTGGAGCTGGGATCCCGTCGCCGGGGGCAGGCCGGCCTGGGTTTCAGAGGAAATGGACGGGCAGGTGTCAATCAGGGCAACGCTGCCTGCGTCTGTGCAGACTCCAGTGGGCCGGGCACAATATTCAATCCGACCAGGAAATCAAATGCAAGAGGGGAAGCAGCAGCCGAGCCCACAAACCCCAGCCCTTCTGCAGAGACCATCCCTAAAAATCCCCATCACAGAATCCACGCCCCCCGCCCGCCCACCGTTCACCGCAGCCCAGGCGAACGGGCTTTGCAGCATGCCGTGACGGTCCCCAGATTTAGGCTATTTCCAACCAGGGATGGGAATTTCAACCTCCAGGGGATGCCCTGTCAGCCTCTCCCTCTCTCATAAACCTCGGGGGGGTCAGTTCGCCCAGCACGGCTGGTGGCAGGCGGTCTCGGACAGACAGATTCCACGCCACGCAGGGGACAGATTTTCACAAGAGCTCCGGGCCACATTTGTAAGTCAGCAACAGCCACATGCAGGGCCAGAGCTCAGTTCTCGCTCGGGTGCTGACATCAGAACCAGGGCCCAGCACCCAGCACTTCCCATTGTCACTCAACCGGCATCTGACGTGCTTTGGAAAATCCAAGCTCAACGCCAACATCAGGACACCAAGGCAGCCCGTCCGGGCCCCAGAGCCTTGCTACCCTCAAGACTCTCCACTTCACAAGCGGGGTTTCCATCTTCGCTCTCCAAATGGAAATTCGCCGCCATGCTCTGGTCTGCAGGGAAACAGGCAGGCGGGGGCTGGATCGGTCGCCGGCTCAGGGCCAGACATTTACCCTGCGAGTTGCAAACCCGAGTAGCAAACGACAGACGCACACGCACGGTCAAAGGGATCGACGCAGCCCATAATCCGTCCTCAGATCTACCAGCGTCACCCAGGAAAGTTTCTTTGCTATAAACTAAGACCTGGTCTACTCTTAAAATGTAGAGCGACCCAACGCCGTCGCTCGGGGGTGTGATAAAATTCACCCCCCCTGAATGCCGCAGTTAAGCCGACCTAGCTGCCGCGGCTCGGGGAAGTGGATTTCACCTCCATCGATGAAAACCCCCTTCCGTCGATGTAGGAAACGTCTGCGCTACAGCGCCATCAGCCACTGCAGGCAGTGGTAGTGACCGTAGCGAAGCTGTAACCTAAAGTTGTACAGGTACAACCCCCGTGAGGACAATCTTATTCCAACATAAGAGGATCACGTAGGGAACCACGCTAAGAAAAACCACTCAGGGCTGAGAAGGTCCATAGAGGGATGATACTGGTATAACTAGACCTGTACGATAGATATCGGTATAACTGGGAAAACGTACCCACGGAGACCAGCCTTTAGTCTCCTGCAGGCCTGCTCTACTCTGGAAAGTTTCACTAGCGTTCACAACCGACAGAGCCTTGCCAGCACCAGCCCTAGTGTGGACACGGGCAAAACCGTCCAGCCAAAGAGTCCCGCGACTGGTTTAAGCAACTCCGGCAAAAGAACTCTCTTGCTGTGTCTCCGCTAGGGAAGTTTGCACTACAGGGCTCTCCCTTAAGGGAGCACCAGCTAGCTTGCTCCCATCCATGCCCCAGGAGCTAACGGGATGCTCCCAAGGCAGAGCCGACTGCACACACAACACCCACCACCGTGCACGCCAACCAGAGGTTTCTCTATTTAGCCTCTCCAGGGCTCCAGACAGAGACCAGCAACTCTAACGGAAACACCCCACCACACACACACATCCCGAAGCTCAACAAGGCGAAATGACACCGGAGAGCCCCCGCTTCCCAAGCAAAAGGAGCACGCACACAACTGCGGCTTAGCGGCTGTTTGCACGCACACTCACGGGATTTGCGCGTGCATTCCTGACGACTGCGTGTTCAAATCAGGCGCGTGGTTGTGCACACAAGCAGTCGGCGATCTCGCTGGACGCAGGGCAGCGGGATGATATTCAGAGACCCACAGCGGGCCGTGATTCCCCCGCTGGGAGCCGTGCTCCACCCACTTGATGTTTGTGGGTAAAGCAATGAAAGGACACAGTCTATGTACTTCTCTCTGCTTAGGATCTTCCCTGTCCTGTCTGAGCCCCACCCAGAAATTCAAGGTCACCATGTGGGTCTAATCAAAGGCGATCTCTCCCTGCCCAACCATTCCTTTCTGCACGTCACGTTCTCACTCCTTTGGGGTTCAGGTTTCTTGCAAAGTAACAATGGTCTGGAGCCCCGGCTGCGAGCACCCCCGGCCCCCAAAGACTTGTTCCGCACGCTGGCTGTTTGCCATGCGTCCAAAGAACGGTTCGGCCGGAGAACACGCTGCACACCAATTAGTGATACTTCTATGCTGCAGCCGTTTTCAGCCACTGACCCCCGAGTGTTTTACAAAGAGAGGCGGCGGCAGCAGCACCCCCCACCCATGGGGAAACTGGGGTATGGAGAGGGGAAGTGACTCACCGCTAGAGTAAATCAGTGGCACGGCTGGGGTTAGAACCCAAGAGTCTGGGCTCCCAGCCAGGTGCTCAAGCCACCGCTCAACGCCGTCCCCTCTCCCCTCTCTAGACCACACCAGACACAACTTCCGTTTAATCACAATCAAAGCCCCGTGCTGAATGATCAAGGGGATCCCGCGTGCCGACGGGCAGCCCCCGCGAGTCGGTCCCACAGGCCTCGCTCACCCGTGATCTCGATGGCTCTCTTTTTGAACGTGCTGATGACGGTCCCGTCTTTCCTCCGCAACAAGGGGCTGCTCCTGCGCTCGGCCACCTTCTGTTTTAACCGCGAGCGCACTTTTAAGTTGGGTTCCGAGGCTGGAAGGGGAAAGGAAAAGCACCATGAACGGGGCTCACCCGGACTCGCTGCCCCAGGCCCGCCTCCCACTGCCTCCCAGCCCCCCGCTGGCAGCTCCGGGCCACTGCCCTGCCCCTGTGGCTACAAGCTAGAGGGGCTGTGGCTGAGATGACAGCAGATCGCCTCCCCCCCATCCCACATTCCTGCCAGAGCCTGGAATATCCTTCCTCCCCCTCCGCCCGTCACACTGACCCTTTCCCCAGCAGGACCCCGGGGTGTCCGTTGCGCCCCCCAGTCCTCAGGGGCCTTCTCCATCCACAACAGCGGGCCAGCCCCTTCTAGACACCAGCTGTTTGGACTGGATTGGGGCACGCAAGCGACTTTGCCTCTGGGCGGGCGGGTCAAATCCAGCCTGGGGCAGTAGTGAGCACCAATCGCTGCCCTCTGATGGCTGTTTGGTGGGTCTCTGGGGCCGGGGTCTGGTCCGTAAAGCACTTAGCGTCCTACCCTAAGGGCTTTGCAAAGAGCTCAGGGCCAGGTTTGCCAGGGCCAGATTTCCAGACGAGCTCAGCTCCCAAGGTGCACCCCGCATGCTGGACTCTGATGAAAATTTGGCCTCCGATTCTGGTGCCTAAATGAGAACTGGGCTCTCGTGAATATTAGGTCCTATATTGATAATTACAGCCCTCCGCAGGCTAGGATGAAGCTGTGCTAGCTACAAGCACAGACCCTCCCCACCTCCCTCCAGAGGGCATCAGTCTCCATGGCTTAGTTCAGACCTTGACCTCTCTTCTGACAAGGGGGCCAATTATGATGGTCATTTTTGTGACACCGGCCCAGTGGGAACTGTCCTGAGATCCACCCAGCGCATTTCACTCAGGCTCCCAAACAGCCAGCAGGTGGCAACGTGCTGCAGTCGGCTACCGCCCTGGGTTGGATTCGAACCCGTGGCCCGGAGGCAAAGCCGCGCCCGTTCCCCCGATCCAGCCAGCCAGCCCCACCGAGGCAGAGTGTACGTTTCCCTTCCCCTCCAGCGGCACTGACCGGTTTTCCGGAGCGGAAAGTCGTCTCTGCTGTCGTATGTGCCGAGTAGGGGTAGTTTGTAGGAGGGCGGTGTTCCCGGGCTGCCTGTCTGGGGAGGGGAACTCTGGTCCAACGAGGTATGATGGGCTCCCCTGCGGAGACAGGCCGAGAAGCAAAGCTGTTAGAGACCCACCCCTTTGGCTGGTACCTGTGCACCCAACTGGCCAGAGAAAGACAGGCAGCCCCGCGCCCCAGCCCGAGTGCAAACTCTCTCTGATCCAGCCTCTGTCCGTCCTACCCATGCAGGGAGACGGGTTTATTTGAGCCTACCCATGACCCCGCTCTCTCCGCCGAGCCGGGAATGCCCTCCAGGTGACACACAGCGGAACTCAGGCCCCATCAACCCTAGTGGGGGACCTAAGTGACAACCCGACCCCCTCCCCGGGGCTGAGAAAAAATATATATATAGAGAGAGAGATAGACCTATTTCATAGAGCTGGAAGGGACCCTGAAAGGTCATTGAGTCCAGCCCCCTGCCTTCACTAGCAGGACCAAGTACTGATTTTGCCCCAGATCCCTAAGTGGCCCCCTCAAGGATTGAACTCACAACCCCGGGTTTAGCAGGCCAATGCTCAAACCACTGAGCTATCCCTCCCCCCTGCCTGGATGGGACTGAGGCATGTCTCCCCTGGGCTCTATATCCTTAGGCCGAGCAGGGGGGCCCCAGCGTCTAGACAGACCGCGCTCTCTCCAGCCAAGGGTGGGACAGGGACACAATTCAAACCCAGCCCGGTCCCGGCTCCGCTCGAAGACCCAACCACGTTCTAACCAGGGGGACAATTGGGCTGTGACGGGGTGGCAGAGCTCGGGAGAGGATCAGGAGAAAAGTGGGGGGGGGTTAACAATCTCTGTGGGATCCCGAAGGTCCCTGGGCAATACTGGGCCAGGGTGTGAGGACCCTAGTGAAAACACAAAATGTTACTGGTAAGCAGGAAGGAAGTGCGGGGGAGGGGGATGGCCAATCAGGGACCTGTTTTTAGCCGGCTAAGTGGATTTATCCCCTAAGCATCCCTGGACTCAGGAAGTGGAGTAGGTCACTGCGATGCAATTAGCCGCCACGCGTGCCAGCCCCTTTTTAAAGCCAGAGGCGAAGAGAGACGTCACAGCCACCTCCCAGCCTCGGGGCCGGACGGGGTCCCTCCGCGGGACCCAGAACGGGGCCGTTTTGGTTTGACTGGATTCGTGTTAACCGCTCACGTCCCTCAGTGATGCCCTGGCCTCCTGGGGAAGCCTGGCGCATCCACACGCCACCCTTAGACTCCCCATTGGGATGTTACGCTGTACATGCCCCATTACCCACCCCAGGGCTCCGACAAAGACACGCCGCAGGAAACAAGGGCGGGGGGAGCGTGTGGCTTAGCAGCTAGAGGGCCTGCGAACCCGGGCTTGCGTGGCCCACCAGACCACAGCACAGGAGAGAACCCCGGAGTCCTGACGCCCAGCTCTAACCACTACACCACACTCCCGCCCAGGGCAGAGCGCAGAACCCAGGAGTCTGGGATCTCAGTCTTCTAAGAGAGGCCCCAGCCAGTTCACCCGGCCCTCCCCTGCTCCGCCGGGCCCGCCGGCCAACCTACCAGCATTTGGGGTGCTGTGGGAGGGAATGGTTGAAGCCACCTGCGGTCAGCTCTTTTGATTTGCTGAGTAGGAACTCCTGGAGTTTTAGCTTCACTTCCGTGCTGGCGATCGCACCTGCAGACAGACGGGACACGGTCCACGGGGGAGGCACAGGCCAACCACGCGACCGAGAGCACGGCTGGGGAGAAGGATCCCCCGAGCCCTACGGGCTCATGCGTCCCGGGCCAGGTGACCTCTGGACTTGGGCGCTGAGCGGGGCGGCACCAATGCCACCAACAGGCCCCCACCAAGACTGGCAGACAAGGGGTTTGGGTCTTTTATTCAGGACCGAAAGCTCAGACCAGACCCGACACGAGTCTCAGGGGCTTGGGCCTCCTCCGTGGTCCCTGGCGCAGTTCTGGTTCCGGGTCACATGCAAAGTGGGCCCCTGCCGTGGGCCACATGCCCCCTGCAAAGTTCTATCCTGTGTCCCTACAGCCCCCTGGAGACAACGTCCCCCAGCATGCACTGCTCTCTCTTGAGCCACACTCCCAGCATGCACCGCTCCGCCTCGCCAGACGGCGCATGGCTGGGATCTGCGCTCTCCCCGGGCCGAGCCCAACCAGCCCATGAGGCTTTCAGTCCCCTAGGCCCCCGGGCCAGGCTTTGCCCCAGCTGGGCCCAGGCTCCGCAGGGCCCCCCCCCGCCGGGTTCTTACTTTCTTTGCTCTTCTCCTTGTTCCGGAGGATGAGGAGCTGCTGCTCCAGCCGCTGCTTCTCCAGCTCCTCCTGCCGCAGCTGCTCCTGCTTGCGTTGATGCTCCAGCTCCTGCTGCCGCTTTGCTGCCAGCATCTCCTGCTGCTGCTGCCAGGCAGAGGGGGACGGGGTTAGCGGGCAGAGGGGGCAGAAACCGGCAGGGGGGGTAAGAGCGGGGCGGGGGGGGAGAGA